TTTCAAAAACATAAATACAGCCATAAAGTGCTTTCTTTATTTAAACATTCTTTAAGTCTTGTTTAGTGGCATGTTTAGACATCTTCCGCCGGTTGTCTAAAACCACCATCATTGTGTCTTGGAGCCTGTCTTCGGAATGTGTTCTGCCAATGAAATCCTGCACCAATTTGATGCGTCTTTCAGCCCTGTCATTAACAACTGCTAACTAACGTACACTGGACACAAATGTCTTAAAAGATCTATTGTTGAGATTTTTCTCCAAATTTGACATGCCTTCTTCTTTCCATGCAAGAATGTCATGTTTGGTTATACCAAGATGGAGAAAAAAGAGGTAAGACTCCTGAGAAACAAAGTCTGATAGTTTTGAGAGGGGGCAAACTTGTGTAGAAGGTTTTGGTTGTTCTTTGTCAAAGATGTTCACCTCTGGAACATCATATTTTAACAATCTCACAAGAATATTCATCCTCTCTTTCTCTTCTAAGCTCTGGTCAGCTAAAGCAAAGATAACACACTGTGGTGTAAAATATCAAGTGTGTCTGAGAATAATGAGATTAAGACCTTTGCCAATCTTTCCGTACTTTTTGAAGTAAAGTGGATTTATCATAATCTGTAATGAAATCTTGAATGCTCTAAGGTCATTGGATGGAGCCTGAGCTGCCATTGGGTTTTTCAGGAAGAATAAACAGTGAAAGATCACTATATAATTTGTTGCATCTTGTATCATTTTAATCTCATTGATACTGAGTTTCTTGTTGTAATTCGTGGTCATTTGCATTGCTAACAGATATAATGAATCAGCCATAAATCTTGCTTCATGATGTGCACCAGGTTGTAGAAACCTGAAGTTCAATAAATCTGCTCCGAGGTAAAAAGCTACCAGTTGACATAAATACTTATAATCACCTCTGTCAAATATATTTGTTTTAAGAGATGTTGTGCAGAATTCCATAGTTTCATTTGCAAGATTGTAAAAGAGGATTCCAAAAGCAAACTCAGGTCTGTTCCAATCAAATTTCTCAATGTTGGCCAATGTATTCCCACATTTTTTAATCTTAGGCCAAAGATCTTGATGTTTCTTAAATAAGGATCGATTGAGTCCTCTTGTTTCTCCCTGTAGTTGAACATGTTGAACATGATGAACATGTTGTTCCATTATATGGTGCCTAAATTTAAAATTCTCATTTTTTGTCATTACTCTCAGAAAAAAGAAAAAGAAAAAAAATACCCGGATTTTGTAAAGTAAAACATCATACCTGCACATTAGCCAAAGAATTGGACAAGGTAGAGAATAAACAGCGATGTTTCTAATTGCACCATTTTGCTTTCTAGTGTTCGAGCGAGTTGTGTCAGTATAACAAGCCATGATCTGGTCTGTTAAGTCATAATATTCAACAAGGCTTTGGATAGCCAGTGCTTGATCTTTCCCTTTGGAGGAGGGTACTTCAAGTACTCCCAGAAGAAAGTCAAGTTAACCCGACTCTGGAGACTAAACACTAATTGCCAACCTTTCTACTGTTTCTGAAATCTTGACCTCAGTCCTATATTGTTTAACCAACTTTGTGTCAAAGTGAAGAACAAGTTTTAAACCCCTAATCTTATCCAGGTTCTGCTCTCTTACAATAAGTTTTTCTTTCTCTATAAGTACATGGTTTTTTCTTGCCATATGTGACATAGAAATGTTTAACATGTCAATATCTACACCCCCAGCTTGAAATAGTGAAGACAACATTGCTGTTTCAGCTCTTACGCTAACTTGATATCTAAAAATAAACAAAATTATGTAAAATTAAAGTTGTTTTACCTTGAAATTTTATATATATATATATATATAATATATATATATATATATATATATATATATATATATATATATATATATATATATATGTATATATATATATATATATATATATATATATATATATATATATATATATATATATATATATATATATATATATGTAATATACTTTACTTTTTTATCCATAAACTTATTTACCTTGTCATAAATAGAATCCACTTATCTAAAACATCATTCAGACTGAGTTGAAGGCAAATCTTTGTCAAATCATATAGCTTTTTTTTCTTTGCGGTAGGAGACTCAAAGTCCGAATCATAATCTGTTCCACTACATCCACTAGAGAATTCCTGCTCAAAATTTCTCAAAGCTTCTTCTTCTGCTGCTTTTTCCAGTTATTGGCTTTCCTTTTTTTGCTCAACACATGCTCTCAATCTCTCCTCCAGTCGCTCTTCTTCTATCATCTTCATCAGCAGATTTTTTATCCTTTCCTCACCTTCAGAAGTTTCAGCAAATGTTTTGTCATTTTTGTAGGACATCTTGACCATGTCCCCTTTCAAACATCTCTTTAAAAAAATAGAATCCTCTTTTACAGCCTCCTTACTTTTTCTAGGATCATGGCTAATTAACTTGAAAATGTCTTCCTTGTGTATAGGAAACAAACTCTTGAGTGTGTTGGCTCATGGTTTCTTTGCTCATCTCAAGGGTTCTTATCTTTAAAACTTTAATATACTGTGTATACAAAGCAATAATTCTAGTCCTAAATTAAAAAATTACAACATTAAATAAACCCGTCAGCAAAACTTGTATGTAAACATATTTTATAGATAAATATGTTTCACAGAATACTTAATTTTTATGACAAGAGACTTTATATTTAGTGGCTTACTTAATCGACCGTTCAATGATGATAAAATTTTCATCAAAACCTGCTTTGTTCCAAATGTTAACCAGCTCTCTTATGATGCACACATTTGATATTTCGTTTCTGTTATCAGCATAACACATACTACCACTGCATTTAAGCTTGCCCGTATTTGCTAGAGAACATCCAATTTTATATGACAATGTTTTGATTGCAGTTGCATGAATCCGAATAATCCAGTAAGTTCTTCGACAAACTTCCCCACCGGTTGGAAGTCTCTTTGGAGAAAATATTTGGAGAGGGTACCCAAACAAATAAAGACTTCTTCTTCCATTAACTTTTCCAACATATCCTGCATTAGCCATATTTAATATTAGTTTCTATACTAAAAAATACAACACAAATGATCACAAAATATACAGTTATTTTTTTCATATTTTACTTATATGTAAAAATTGTAATTAAGTAATTAAATGTATACTATTTAAATTATGAGTCTAGTAGCAGTATACAATATATACTGCTACTGTTTTTCAACATCCTAATCAAGGATATTTCATTAAAATTTATTGTATTTTAAAATATGTTCATAGAGTTTCAATAAAAAAATGCAAAAAAATCTCATTAAAATTTACGTGCAGTTTTTTTCTAAAACGCCTTCTTCAGCTAAACAGTGACTTTGAGCCCAGATATTTTTATGGTGGTCTACTGGGACCAAATAAGGAGGATTTACATAGTGCACAATTTTGAATTCAAAATTATTTTTTTTCTGGGACACCCTAATGTTCAAAGAAATAAACTAGATATGTAAAAGTTTTTAGAACATGAAAAAACAGTTAAAGTAAAAGAATTACACTTTGTTGAATGGGTGAGATACGCAAGATATTGTTCGATAAAACAAGAAACGATAGCTTGTTTGAGTAGCAACCATGCTTGTATTTTTATAAAAGAGAAAAAAAAGATGCAATCTTACGACGATGAGGCTGAGGTTCATGCTTCGTAGCTTAAGTGAGCCAAACAACATTGATAATGCGTTTTATACCTTTTCTAAAAGAGACTGGAACTAATGATGGAGCCTTGTGTTACAACAAATGTTACTGAACATGAATGAGACTATTGTTCACTGTAAGATAAAGACGGTTTTGGTTGTCTATCAGGGACAACCTTTTGGTAAACCAGAGAAGACCAGTATGCTAGGCTTTATCGAAGATAAATAAAGAGCAATAACTCTTGACTTACTGCTTCCATCTAAAACCTTTTAATTATAACAGTTAACAAGTTAGCCGTAGAAAGGGAGGTTAAAAATCCATATTCATTGAGAAAGTACGACGTTAGGCAATAGTTAGCGGAATCAAGGCGACCTTCATAGTTTTTTAAAGTTAAAACCACAGACGACATTTTCCAGCAGTTTGGAAACTAAGGTTCAATTAAACATTTTTCAAACAGTTTAAAGATTGAAACAAAAATTTTGTCTAGACCATAAGCTAAATGAAATTTTAAGTAAAAAGCTTATCTGAGTAAAAGCTATAGAAAGGCAAAAAATTTAACATTTAAAGCCAGCAAGTTCAAAGGTACTAGAGCCTAGCCGTTCAATGTGATGAGCATTAAAGTCATAAACAATATTGGCTAGGGATTAATAAGTGCTAAGTGCCACGACAGAGTTTGGTAACCTTACTAAATGCCAGGCTTCAATACAGTAGCTGGAATCCGGCTACTGTCCTGGACAGGTGTTGACTGCATTTGTCTTCTGGATGCCATTAACATCTGTCCAAGGTGAGAATTTTTTTCGGGCTCATGGTTTAGGAAAAAAACTTTCTTAAACCATGAGCCCGAAACCGGGGATATTTTAAGTCTGAGTTAACTTCATCTAGCCTTTGTCTAGAAAAGCGAATTCTATAAGGCGGTAGGTCGTAATACAAGTTGTACTGGATTACAGTTACCATTATATAGATGCTTTTTTGCAATAAATATATGCGTCAAGACTGAAAAATGTATTATGCTAGATTTTGAACTTTCGGAAATGACACTGATTGGAGGGTACTTAACCAGCTTGTTGTCTCCAACTAGAATCAGGGCCTTCACACGAAACAGGGGTTTCGAAGTAGGGGGGGGCATAATCGTCAATACTTAAAAAAAGTCTTCTATATCTAGAATTTTTATAAAACAAACAAACAAACAAACAAAAAAAGGTCCTTCAGAAAAAAAGTATGTGGACCTCCCCCCCCCCCCCCCCCCTCAGTGTTGTCGGCCCGAGAATTAAGGTCAAACGATTCTTTTAAAAATATTTGATCAAAAAATTTGATCTTCCTAGCAATTAAAAGTCTAACACAATTTTTAATAAGTTCCTTAAAATTACGTAAATAAATTTTGTTTTTTTTTCTTGGAGTTCCGCCTCATCGAAAACTGAATCCGCCTATGCGTATCATAATAAATATGCTACGAGAATATCTATTAAAACTGCGGTACAATGAAGCTTTTTTTTCTTTACAAAATTACATTATTGTCATCGTTTTAATTAAAATGCAAAAAAATTTCTTTAAGAAAAAAATGTTAACAATTTTTTAGTTATCGTCTTGATTGACCGCGTAACGAATAAAAGTTATTCGAATAACAGCAGTAACAAAATTTCGACAAACTTCGTGTGCAGACGCAGTACTGCTGGGCATTAAAAAAGCAGGTTGTAAGTAAATACTCATCTTGTTATGGGGACTGCTGAAGACGAAGCGAGTTTTCGCTGGCTAAATGAATACGAGAAAACATGGTGATTTTTACTTTTTCTTTCTTATGTGCTATGCTTTACTATTTGCTGTTGGTGCATCTCGATTAAACTGCCAAATTTTAATTTAAGCATTAATTTAAAGATTATAATTATATCTACACTTGCATACTCAAAAGTTTAAAAAATTTATATATATATATATATATATATATATATATATATATATATATATATATATATATATATATATATATATATATATATATATATATATATATATGTATATATATATATATTTATTTAGTATGTATGTATGTTTGTATAAATACATGTGTATACTTTAGTAATGAATCGAAGGAAAAAGGGATCGAAGAGATGCATTCCCCCGCCCCTCACCAGAATCTGAAAGTCCTATAATATCTTCAAAATAGAAAATCAAATCATTTCTGCATCCCACTCCCTACACCAAAAATTCCTGGATTTGTATATTATGTAGATATGCAACTTACTAACCTTTTGAGCTTTTCTTCTATAGTCAGAATAAAAATTCTAAAATACTATATATTAGGAAAAATTTCAATTTTTAAAATTATTTGCAAATAGCCAGATAGCTGCTGTTTATAAATAGTAGAAAAAATTAGAGCAATTTGTTTATGTAGTGTCCCAGAAAGGCTGCTCAAAAAAAAAAAATAATAATAATAAAAATAATAAAAAATTAAATTATTAATAGTTACTATTAATAATTAATAATATTTTGTTTATTAAATTGGTTAGTTTAATATTATGAATTTATCAATCACATTTTAGGGCCTTAAAATGACTGTTGTTTAAGATTATTATTTTTAAATGAAATTGAATATTTAAAATTTCAACAATAGTTTTGCAAGCAGTAATATTAAACAGTGAAATTTTAAATTGAATATTTAAAATTTCAACAATAGTTTTGCAAGCAGTAATATTACCCTTTTTTGACATTTTTTAACCCAATGTGTGCCACCCTTGAACATTATTGAGTTAATTTTTTTTTTCATATTTATTCTCATAATTAATAAATGTAAATATAAATATAGAATAAATAATATCCAAAAAAAAAATTAGGCACTCTCTCTAAATATATTTTAATTAAAAAGTTTTTTAAAAAGACTAAAGATTGGTTTACACAAAATTGATTTCATGACAGTGTTGCAATTTCATTGTACTAATGTATTAACTCTGCTTTTCATCTGCTGTTTTAATAAGGTAGATCAAAACTTTAACAAAATTTTGATTTTGTAACTATAAATTTGCAGTGTTAAAATATATTATTGGTTTTTGTATAATGTTTAACAAAGTTTGAAATAAAAAGTTATGCTAAAGATTTGTGGAAATATAAGAAATAGAGGCAATAAAGTTTTCTGAGTTTCAAAAACTTGGAAGACACTATTATCTAATCAGTTTGAAACTATTTAAGAAATAATCCAGTATTATATTTACCTATGAAAGTCCAAACTAACTGTTTCTTTCAAAAACTAAGTCTGTTGTCCAAAAGTTCCAGAAGCAGAAGAGAACTGCTGCATTATATCTTAGCTGAAGGCTCTTTTGGAACTTGAAGGCTACAGAACTCATAGCATACAATGCGTTTTACGGTTAATATTATTTATTAAATCTTAATTGTAAATAAGTTAAATAGTTATCAAATCAATATTAATTTTAGGAATAAAGTTGAGGCTCTTGTAATGAAATAGAAAAAACTGCAATCCCTTAAAAACAGACTGATACCAGAAACAATCAAGTATCGAGAGACCTTTTTAAAAGTATCTAAAAAGATATTTTGGTTGGGACATGATATAAAAATTATTATTGATGAAATAACAATAAAGTATAATACTGTTTAAAGATATTATAATGCTGACTGCTGTAGGAGAAAGACTTTCTGTCAACCAGTACACTGCTATCATAAGCAGTTTTATAACTATCTCAGGAGGAAAAATAAATGAATTTTTTATATCTAAGTCATCATCTCTTTGAGCTGAAGGTAAAGTGATAAGTTCAAATGCTCAAAATATTAGACAATATAAAAAAGACTTGACTATTTCCAATGTAAGATTATTTCTGTTCATTTTGAGGAAAAGTTGTTTAAAGAATATACAGATAACATTCCAGTCACAAGAGAAAGATTAGCTTTACTAGTGCAAATGAACAGAAAAAGTGAGCTATTAGGCATTTCTCATATTGAGTAAGCTGCTGACGAAATGCAGTTTAAAGCAGCTTATAATCTAATTGAAACTTTCGGTCATCGTATACAGTGTATATGTTTTGATGCTACTGCCTCCAACACTGGAAAGCACCACATAGTTATAAAAAAAATGGCATATAAGCTTGGATGGCTACTACTTTTCCTTGCCTGTAGACATCATGTTTTGGAAAGACATTACTCACTTTAACAAGATATATTCCAGTAGTAAAACCTCTGGTCCAAATAATCCGCTCTTTAAACATTTGCAATTGATTCTTAGAGCAGTCTGCAACTGCTTCAGCATTAAAATAATTTGACAGACACAACTGGTATCTTGATCCTGCCTTAGTTGTGCTTGCTTTAGCTGATTAACATTGCCCAAACAGAGAAGATATTGCCAAAGCATTGTACAGTACACTTCCCGCAAAACCAATACTATATCCACTTGAGTGTGTTATGGTCAATAAAGAGCTTCTTCATTCTCTAGATTTTGCACAAGATCAGCCTCAATCTATTTGTGCTCTAAGCCAAAGCAACTCACTCTTTCCGTGTCCAATCTTATCTTTGATAAGATTGGACATGGAAAGAGTGAGTTGTTTTGGCTTTAGACCTCTTCTCAGTTATGGAAGTTCAACAATTTTTATCTTGTTTAAAATTATTATTAAGTCCCTTGATGTGGTCAATGACTAATCAGAGGGCCATTAAACTAAAACTGATTGGAAAATCAACCAAGGCGGAGAAAAGACAGAAATTTTTCTTGCTTAACCATATTTTTACTAAAGAAGTAAGCAAAGGTCAAAGAAAACAGATTTAGCATCATATGCAACTAATACTATTTTAAAATAATAATATGTTAATGATTTAATAAAACTCTTGCATTAATTATGTTTTTCTTACTCCTCCTGCAACTTGAAAGAAAGGTATATAATAGGGAGATTAATAGGGAGAGCTAATCAGATTTATGGAGCCGAAACCGCCTTGGCTCCCGGATTTTATGAAAAATAGTTTTCTATTAGAGTTTTAATTTTTCAGATTTATATTAGTTGATTTTTTTTTAGAGCTATACGTTTTAATTTTTTTATTTGTTTTCTCTTATATTAAGATTTCTTTCTTTTTTTTATAGTATGGCATGTTTATAATTTTTTTCCTTTGTCGGTTTTTTTCATCGCATTTTTAATTATCTTTTCAAAAAAAAAAAAAAAATTACATGTGTATATATATATATATATATATATATATATATATATATATATATATATATATTCGCACTCTTTTTTAATTTTAACTTTTTTTTTTGCAGCAATCGTGCTTTTTAAAAAGCATTGCAGTATATTATGCAATTAATTTTTTTAAATGACATTGTGTTTTTTTATTTCAGTTACAACTCGCCATTCAATTAAGTCTCATCCCTTTTCTGTGACTGTTCCTAAGTGCTTCAAAAACTCTTATTCTTCTAGTTTTTTTCCTCGAACATCAGTTCTTTGGAATTCGCTTCCTTCATCTTGCTTTCCTGATTCATATAATTTGCAATCTTTTAAGTCATCAGTCAATCGTTATCTTGCTCTACAGATTTAGTTTTTTCTCTTCCAGTAACTTCCAACTCTTATAGTGGTTGCTTGCAGCCTTGTTGGAAGTGAAGATGTTAAAAGAAAACTATTATTATACTTTCGTGAGAAAAATTATACTTTTGCGAGAGCCGTAAATTGCTCCCGTAAGTCGTTTTAGGGCAGTGTGGGCGAGAGCTAAAGCTTTTGCTTCCAGTGAGGCCTATATATATATATATATATATATATATATATATATATATATATATATATATATATATATATATATATATATATATATATATTTAGTTTGCTTAATTTTGTCTAAATTATTAGATTTGCTAATTATTAAATTTTGGCTAATTATTAGATTTGCTGTACCTATAATCATAGTTGTATATATTTTAGGGAAGCAATCCAGGAAGATGATGATGGACTTCTTCAATCTTCCATTGATGAAATTGTTCATCAAGCTAAAAGAAAAAGGTGTCAAATCAGAGTTTAAGAATTTTTTATTTTATTTTTTTTTCTTTAATTTTTTGTTTTATTAGGATTTTGAGCCACATTAGTAATTAATAATTTAATAATTTTTTATTCAAATATTTATAAATCTTTAACCATTTAGACTTCTTGTTCGCAAAGGAAATGTCAGGCTGGGTATGGTAAGCATATTACATGATTTATTATAAGTCTATTTTTAGGAATGATTTATGCTATTTAAATTTTTTTTATTTATATTTCAAAAAAATAGTACAATTTTTTAAAATATTATTTGTTTTGAATTTGCACATAGCAAATTTTTAATGTTTTTTAAAAAGGAGTTTCAAATATATTATTCCAGCATAAGTTTCAAAGAAAGTAATCTTCTAACTTAACTATAAATTATTATAGAGACATCCGACCAAATTATAGTAACTTTACCCTCTTTAGTAAACAATCAGACCTTAAAAGTAAAAAAAAAAAAGAGCCAGGGTTGGGTTTGATAAAACAAAGCCGGAGCTGCTATTGGCAGAGCTGCAAAAATAATGATAATTGCTAAAAATATATTATTTTAAAATTTACTTGTTATCTCTCTCTCATTATTTAAAAAACAAAAATTACTGATGAAATCTAAATTTGGTATATAAAAAGATAATATTTCTTTATAATTTTTTATTATTATAATTATTATATATATATATATATATATATATATATATATATATATATATATATATATATATATATAATTATTATATATATATAATTATTATATATATATATATATATATATAATTATTATATATATATATATATATATATATATATATATATATATATATATATATATATATATATATATATATATATATATATGTAATTATATATATATGTAATTATATATATATATATATATATATATATATATATATATATATATATATATATATATATATATATATATATATATATATATATATATATATATATATATGTAATTATATATATATGTAATTATATATATATATATATATATATATATATATATATATATATATATATATATATATATATATATATATATATATATATATATATATATATATATATATATATATATATATATATATATATATATATATATATATATATATATATAATTATGTATGAAGAAATAATATTTAAAATTTGCTCTTACTCCTCATAAAAAAGTTGTTTTTAAATTTCATAAATTTCAAAAATTTTTATTAATTAAGAGTGAACAATTATTTGTATAAACTTTGAATAAATGGAATTTTAATAGCAGTTCTTTTGTTACGTAACTTGAAAAATATGATACTCTACCACCAAACAATTGATTTTGCTTTTGAACAACACTTCTAAAAATTGTTAATAATTATATTTTTAATATAAAATATATGTTTGTATTTTTAAGCAGTGTAGTTAATTGACACTATTGAAACTATTCGTTTAATAATGAAAATCATATTTATATGAGGAAAACTTCTTCAATAATTGCACAATAACATAAGTTAAATATATAGTGTCAAATTGACATGTTTATTATCCTGACTATGTTGCTTCTTATTGAGTTTTTTTATTTTTTTGTAATGAGTATTTGATTCACCATATTATATGTTTTGATTCGATTTACAATTTCTTTTAATTCAATGAGATCCAAATTAAAAGTTGAAAAATTTTTTCACTTGTTTTTCTGTGTAATGTATATTAGGCAGTATTTTTGTTTCTAAGTTTGCCATTCTTTTGTCATACTCAAAGCTTTTTAGCTTATTTTATTCTTCAAACTAACAGCTGTAAATAATGAAAATAAAATAAAATGTATGAATTATTTTATTTAGAACTTAAATAAAATGTTTTTTGTGCTAATTTTATTTTTAAATACTTAATTATAAAATTTAAATAAAGCGTTCGTTTTGTTGTTTTTAATTTATTTATTTTATTTAGAATTTAAATTTTTGTTTTTTTGTTTGTTTTTTTGTTTTTGTTTTAATTATTTTAATTTATAACTTTAATATGTTTATTTTGATTTTGTTATTTTTAATTATTTTATTTAGAATTTAAAAAATGTTTTTTTATTTGTTTTGTTTTGTTTTGTTTTTTTTTTATTTCAATTATCTTAATTTAGAACTTAAATAAAATTTTCACTATGATTTTTTTAAATTTATTTTATTCATAGTTTTAATAAAATGCTTTTTTTTTTTCTTTTTTTCTTTCTGTATCTTTATTTTATTTTTTTCATCTAGAATTGAAATGCTTTTTTTAATTATTTCATTTAGAATTTATTCAAAGCATTCTTTTTGCTGTTTTAATTTTAATTTCAATAGTAAATAAAGATGAGTTTTTAAAATTGCACACGCAAGCCTAAACGTAACCGTCCTGCCAGTGCTTTTTTGTGCGCTGGCAATTGCACACGCAAGTCTAAACGTAACTGTCCTGCTTTTTTGTGCGCTGGCTTTTAAATGGAGAAGACTAATCCTAAATCCTAAAAAGATTTCGCTGATTTTTACTTCATGATTTGTGATTTTTACTTTATGATTCAATTTTTACTTTATGATTCGACACCTATGCGCGAAGTGACTACAAATATTATTAGATAAAAAATGTTTGTAAAAATTGAAATACACATTAATTTTTGCTATTTTTTCTTAAATGACCAAAGTTACATGGTAGCCAAGCTTAGATAATTGTGCAGTACTTGGTTAAAGTTTTTATTTCATTATTATTTTTGAAATCTAAAATTGGAGCATTAGTTAAGTACCAAAATCTAAAATTGGAGCATTAGTTAATTACCGTAAAATTTTGTTATGAGTTTTCATAAAAAAAAAAGCGATTTGAAAATATTTCGAAAGTAATACTTTTATACCATAAAGTATTTTTTTATTTACAATGTTCAGTAATTGTTAAGAAACAAAAATTAAACATTAAAAATTTTTTTTTTGATTGACTAGTTAATAAAAATGGTTGAGCAACAATACTATGTGTTAGCCATAATAGCAACAATGCTATGTGTCAACTTGGCTACCTACCTTTGGTTTTTTATTTTGTGCGCTATGTATATACATTTTTTTTTTTTTTTAACATCTTTGCTTCCAACAACGCTGCAAGCAACCACTAATTAGTGTTGGAAGTTACTGGAAGAGAAAAGATGAAGATTGTAGAGCAAGATAACGATTGACAGACGACTTAAAAGATTGCAAATTATATGAATCAGAAACGCAAGATGAAGGAAGCGAATTCCAAAGAACTGATATTCAAGGAAAAAAACTAGACGAATAAGAGTTTTTGGAGCACTTAGGAACAGTAACAGAAAAAGGATGAGACTTAATTGAATGACGAGTATCGCCAGAATGAATTTTAGTAGATAGCACAAGAGACGCTAGCTCTTTAGAGAAGTGCCCATTATAGTATTTGTAGAAAAGAGAAAGAGAAGCAACATTACGACGATGTGACAGAGGTTGAAGTTGGCTGCAAGAGCAGGTCCAACTATGTTGAAAATGCGTAAACATAGTTGGATGAATAGAATCCAGAGTAAGAAAGTGTTGAGCTCAATAAAGAGAAGTGACTTTAGCAGATGTTAATTTTGCAACGGATTTGATATAAGGTTTCCAAGAAAGATCAGAAGTAAGAGTTAATCCTAGAAGATGATGGGTAGGAGACTCATCGAGTACATTACCGTTCATAAATATAGGAAGGTCTAAATTATTGCGATGACGATTGGACGAAAAAAATTGAGTTTTATCTGAATTAAAGTTCACCAGCCACTGTGAGCCCCATGCTGTAGCAGAAGTGAGATCCTTTTCAAGCTCAGATGCCCCCTGCAAGCAATCAGAGGGAGTTGGCTTCTTATCGTGACAAGAATAAATAGTAGTATCATCATTGAATAATGCCACCTTAGATGTAAGAAAATATGGAAGATCGTTAATGTAAATTAAAAAGAGTATAGGGCCAAGGATTGAACCTTGGGAAAACCCTGAGGTTACAGAATAAGAACAAGAGTGCTGTCCATCAAGGACAACATTTATACTACAATTAGAAATGAAGGATTCAATAATCTTAAGGATGTTTCCAGATACACCGTAAGAAGAAAGCTTATGGAGAAGACCAGCATGCCAAACTTTATCAAACCCTTTGGATATGTCAAGAGCAATGGCCTTAACCTCTTCACCTTTATCTAATGCGCGATAAAACCTATCGGTTATTACTGATAGCAAATCAGCCGTAGAACGAGAAGATCGAAATCCATATTGATGATCAGAAAGTAGGTTATGAGATTTGAGATGAGAGATTAAGTGTTTGTTAATTAAAGATTTAAAAACCTTGCTTATGATAGGAAGAAGACTAATGGGACGGTAGTTAGATGAATCAGATCGCTCTCCAGAATTTTTAAAAATAGGGATAACAGATGCTGCTTTCCAGCAGGCTGGAAAACAAGACTCTCATAAGCACTTGTTGAATAGTTTTGAAAGGATAGACAACAGCTCCGTAAAACACTTCTGCAAGACTATAACAGGTATGTTGTCCGGGCTGCAAGCTGTAGAAGAGTCTAAGCAGGAAATCACTTTAGATACAGAAGCTGGAGTGATACGTATGTCGAGCAGTGGATCAACCTGTTTGACGGCTATATTAGGTAGAACGCAACTAGTTGAATCCAGAGATGATATTGATGAAAAGTTCTTGGCAAACAATTCAGCTTTGTCTTTAGGTGTGGTGACAAAGTCTGAACCGTACAAAAGAGGTGGAATTACAGACTTGCCCTTATTATTGATACTATTAAAGATTCTCCAGAAGTCACGAGAGTCTAATTTTTGTGATGAAATACGAGATTTCATGATCTGAAAAAAGCGGGCTTTAGCGTTAGACAAAACCTTTTTACAATGGTTCCTAGCAGTAATAAACAGACGTCTGTTTTCTGGAGAATTGTTCTGCTGATAGATATGGAAGTAATGGTTTCTATTGGCAATTGCAGCAGCACAATGTGAGCAAAAACATGGAGAAGAGTGAGGCTCGCCCTGGAATGGTTAAGAGGGAATAAAGGATTCCATGCCAGCCTGAATCCACTAAATTATGTAAGAAGCACATTTGTCAACAGGAAGACGAAAGATTTCTACCCAGGAACCATCACAAAGAAAATCACAGAAAGTGTCCCAGTCAGCTTTAAGGT